GATTTTGTTGATTTCAATCTGCATTATGTTGAAGGCAAAAATGACTATCGCAATGCGAAATGAAAATCGCAATGCGAAATGAAAATCGCAACGAGAGAATCGCAATGCGAAATGAAAATCGCAATGCGGAAATGAAAATCGCAATGCGTTTATAATTTCGCATTGCGATTATCTCGTTGCGATTTTCATTTCGCATTGCGATTTTCATTTCGCATTGCGATTCTTTCGTTGCGATTTTCATTTCGCATTGCGATTTTCATTTCGCATTGCGATTTTCATTTCGTATTGCGATTTTAATTTCGCATTGCGATTATGTCGGTTCGATTTTCATTTCGCATTGCGATTTTCATTTCGCATTGCGATTCTCTCGTTGCGATTTTCATTTCGCATTGCGATTTTCATTTCGCATTGCGTATCTCTCGTTGCGATTTTCATTTCCGCATTGCGATTTTCATGTTGGGATTTTCATTTCGCGTTGCGATTGTATTTTCCGTGTTGCGATAGTCAAATGCATGCCTAATAGTGATAACAACTGAATAACAAGAGTTGGTTAAGTCAAAATGGTTGGCCTGAGTCATTAATTCAACTGAAAATGTTAAAAGTTCACACATAAAATCCACATAATACAACGTTTGCATATGAGCTTTTGATGGCAACGTTTACATAATACACATAAAATGTTAAATGTTAAAACGTTTACATAATACAACTGAATAACAACGTTTACATAATACAAAGTTCACACCATATGAGCTTTGGATTTTGATGAGGATCCATATTTTGGTAGAGGAAAAGATGATTTTGATGGCACTGGTGATCCACATGTCAACCTTGTATGACCACTTTCCTTGCACCGACTACATGTCGATCTCTTCTTCTCTTCACCCTTAGACGGTATACGATCGTGACTTTTTGGTCGGCCAGGTAGCCTTCTGTCCATGGCTGGTGGCAAAACTGTTTGTAAGTCATCTGGTATGTCCCACTCAGAAGGATGTGGAATAGGGTAGACAATCTCGGCATAAGTCTGTCGATAAACTTCTGTAGTGTAGCAATCCATAGCGTATGCGCTTGAATCATCTTGGTTTAAATGAAGAGCAACTTTTATAACATGGCCACACGGATAACCAGATGTTTGCCATTTCATACAACTACACGTCTTTGCATTTAGATCGACTAGCCCATTTAAGTTATTATCCAGTACTTGAAACAAAGTGTTTGAACATGGTTCAACTCTCCATGACGTTGACTTCACAACACGTTTCGTTATCTTTTTTTCAGTCCATGGTGTAACACGATGTTCCAATGTTCCTGTAAATTTAAATAAACAATACTTAGTAAAATATAAATATGATAAGTTACGAATTCAAAGAAATAATACCTGCATGGTTTCTTTTCTTGTAGTACCACTGTTGAATAGAGGCTCGAAAAAACTCCATTAACATAGTAATGGGTAATTTCCGGGAATGACGACTTAGAGCGTTGATTGATTCTGCACTATTAGACGTCATGAAACCATATCTTGCTCCAAGTTGATGTACTCTTGACCATCTTTCAAACCCGACATCTTCTAGTGTTTGAGCACACTGAGGCAAAACACGTCTTAAACAATTTATATGCTTATTGAAATCCACTTCCCGATAAGCTTTTACAGCCTTCCAGTATGTACATTTGTGCTTTTTTATACCAGCAGACCTTGATTTTAGATTTCTATACAAATGAACACCACAAAGTCCATGAAAAGCATCTGGGAAACACCTTCTAACAGCGTTGTCAATTGAGTTTGCCCTATCGGATATGATTGTCAGATTGCTAATAGGACCTATGCAATCCCTAAGATGCCCCATAAACCATGTCCATGAATCAGAGGTTTCAGATTTGCCAACCCCGTAAGCTATTGGCAATATCCCATTGTTAGCATCCATGGCTACTGCTAATAAGTTTACTCCAAGGTATCGACCTTTCAAATGTGCTCCGTCAACTATAATAACTGGGCGCATGCAAGTAATAAACGAACGAATCTACAAAATAATATACACAAGAAATATAATCATTTAAATGTGAAATGCATGTAACTAACAAAAATGAGTCAACAAAATTATATTGATTTACTAACCGTAGCACCAATGGCGATAAACAGCAACTCAAAGCGTCCATCTCTATCTGTTTTGATATGAGTTACCGACCCAGGATTTTTCAGCTTTAAATTGTGACAATAAGCCGGCAGTTGGGCAAACGATGCTTCTGGCGACCCCCTCAACAATTCCAAGGCATAACATTTGGCTCTCCAAGCTTGAGAATATGATATACTAATCTTGAACCGAGCATTCATGTCAGTCATAATTTCATGTCCCCGATATACCCTGCCATTCAAAAACATTAACTCAGCCAGAAAACCACCCAACACCTTTTTGTTTGCCTGTCTATGGTGAGGAAAAACTTGGGTTCTTGAACATGTATGTTTATCAATAAAAGTCCTAACTTGAAACATTTTGCAATCTTTTATTCTCTTTGCAATCATACGCCACGTACAGTTTTTGTCAATCATACACCTTGTTTCGAAACGATCTTTGCTTGATTTGTTAACTTTTAGTTGATAGCCATCTTCCACACATTTCGTATATAAAGCTATCTTCAAGTCTTCCTTTGTATCAAAACAATCATCTTTCTTGATACGAATAACTTTTGTGTAACAATCAACTGCTTTCTTTATCAACTCTTCTTCCGGTATCTGAAGTAATTCTGGCATATTCCAGTTATACGCCCGTGGCATTTTCTTTTCTTCGGGGACTTTTTCTTCTTCTTTTCTTCTTCAGGATTATATGAATTACAGAATGGATGTTCAACATGTTCATTCACAGTCGTAACTTCCTCCTCATTATCATCAACATTACATTCTTCGGCAACGGCTGTTTCATCATCAAAATTCGGGTATTGACCAATATCAATATCATTACACGCATGGTCTGTTTCTTCTTCTGAAACATCATCAAAATCCGTGTATTGACCAATATCAAAGTCCGGATATTGACCAAGACCAAATTTCGAATACTGACTAGTACTCACAATTTTTTCTGTTGGCTCATCATCGTCTAACTGGTCAATACGAAAACCGGAATTTGGTGCTGAAAGTTGATTGGGATTTGGATTAGAGAAAGGTTGTGGGTTTTGAGAAAAACTTAGTTGATTACTACCCGCTACTGACCCAACAATACTACTTCTAGGTTCAACAACATACAATGTAACATCATCTTGTGAAACACTAATGTAAGCAATGAATCGTTCAACATCTTCATTGTCGGTTAACAAATAAACTTTACCATTTCTCTGATAAGATAGCCTAAATCCACTTAGGGGCTCTAAATTCAATTTATTTGAAACACGTAGCATTAGAGTTTCATAAGTTAACTTTTGTAAAGACAATTTTAGTTGAAGATTTATGGGTAAAGGCATATATTGTAAAACACCATTAACATTATCCCATGACCCTCCAAAACACAAATCTATCCAAACATGATCAACATTAGATGATTTCATGGTTGTAACTAAACAAACGAGATGCGAAACTAAGACCTGTTGCCGGATGGGGAAGGATGTCGTTGGATATAGGAACGGATGTCGCCGGAGAGAGTGATAGATGGAGATGGAATGAGTTGCGATTTAGGGATTTAGTTTATGATTTCAGTGTTATATACCCAAAATTTCAGTGTTGTGATTTACAGATTCTCGTTGCGATTTACGGATTATCGTTGCGATTTACAGATTCTCGTTGCGATTTACGGATTATCGTTGCGATTTACGGATACGCGTTGCGATTTACGGATTATCGTTGCGATTTACGGATACGCGTTGCGATTTACGGATACGCATTGCGATTTACGGATACGCGTTGCGATTTACGGATACACGTTGCGGTTTACGGATACGCGTTGCGATTTACGGATACGCGTTGCGATATACGGATACGCATTGCGATTTACCCATACGCGTTGCGATTTACGGATACACGTTGCGATTTACGGATACGCGTTGCGATTTATGTGTTCGCGTTGCGATTTTCATATTCGCGTTGCGATTATGGAAAATCGCAATGCGAATTTGTACTATCGCATCGCGATTTTCAAGAATCGCGTTGCGATTCTGGAAACTGATTTGCGATTCTGGGGATCGCGTTGCGATTTTTATTTCGCGTTGCGATTTTGTTGGTCATTTTGGCAAATCCAAAAAAAGTTGGTTAAAATCGTATATTATAACTTTTTTTTGGTCACTGAGGCGATTTTCTCTATTTTTAAAGACTCAAATTTTCAGATTTTTCAGTCATGCAAGATTATGTTTTCAAATCTAAATCCACTGGAAATTAAAATGAAAAAAAAGGAAGAAATTAGGACCTTAAAAAATCTGTTATTTCAAAAAATATACGTAGAAAATCTGCTCAAATTATTTCCTTTATTATTAAATCTGCTCAAATTATTTCCTTTATTATTAAATAATTAGTCCATCTATTATACAAATATACTCAAATTGGTCCATTTATTATTAAATAGATTAAAATAATCATTGTGATTGTAAAAAAATAATTAAATAAGACTAATTAACATAGATAATTTCACTATTTTTTAAAAATAATTTATTATTTAACAAAGTTAAAATTTCTAAGATTTTTTTGGATAAGATATTACCTAAAGAAAACAGTGAAACTGCTACAAACAACAAGGCATCCAGCTAGCAAAATTTCTAAGATTTATATAGTTCTGTAAATGAAATCTTTTGTTTGAAGTTAATATCTAAATGAAATAATAAGTTTCATTTCATTTTAAAGAAAAGAATGTTAATTCTATCAAAATTAAGCATGATTGGATTCTTTATATTAGTATAGAGTCAAGATTAAATTGATCCATTTAGTAGTAAGTAGACTAATTTGGATAGGCCTTAATAATAGAGGGAACTACCTCATAATTTCACCATTAAAACTAGGTCCACATCGGTTATCGTCCCCGAAGCCCATCGCCGCCCCTAAGCCCTAGAATTTGAGATAAATGAAACCCCCCAAAGTACACGCCTTTATATTTTCTGAAACAAGTGTTTTGGATTTTGTTTCAAACCCAGTTCAGAGTTTCAGACAGGTAAAAAAAAAAAAAGTAGATGAAAATGTCGCACGCGTTTCGACGTCGTCGGTCTCATCTCTTCGGTTGAGTTCTCTGTTATTCTTGCCAAATTCAAGCACCAATCTTGATTCTCATAAGCCATCTCTTCCTCTTCGTCCCAGGTTTTTTCTTCTTATCCAAACTACGAGGAGGCTATAAGAACAATGTATATCTATTTTTTTTAATTAATCGTTTATTTTGATATGATTATTTAAAACCCTTGTTTTTATTTTAATGTTGGTTTCATTAGGGGGTTTGTGGGATGGATTTATTTCCTGATGTTTGTTTCTTTGAATTTCCCCTAATTCAGGAAATTGAAGAAGGTGGTTAGTAATCAAAATAATGTAATTAGTTTTCAGCCAAAGGCCGTTTACAACGGAGAGTTCTGGGCTCCGGAGACAAGCTCCCGACAGGGAATTTGGTCGATTAGGTACAAGCTCGTTTAAACTTCAACTCTTGTGTTGTTAATTTAATGAAGAAAATGTTATAGAAGATTAGAGGTATTGTTTTGTAACCATGTAGGGATGATTTGAAACTGCCGTCGTCGCCTTACATTCCTATGAATGCTCAAGGGCAGGGGCCGCCGCCGATGGTGCAGGAGCGTTTTCATAGTGTTGTTAGCCAACTTTTTCAACATGTATGGATTTGGTTTTGGTTGTGGATTTCAGCCTTCATGTGTGTTCTGTTTCTCCCTTATCGGTTCTTGTATCTGTTGTCGTTGTTTCGATTTTTAGAGAATAGTCCGTTGTGGTGGAGCTGTCGATGATGATATGGCTAACATTATTGTAGCTCAGCTTCTGTATCTTGATGCTGTCGATCCTCAGAAGGTCTGTTCTGTTCCATGCTTTCTTTCTTTCTTTAAGTAGCACACCTTGTTATTTTTTTCCTTGAAGAAATTAGGACCCGGAATCCGATTATGAATGTTATTTACTACTTGTGCCTTTCTGGATATTGTCAATAGGACATTGTCATGTATGTCAACTCTCCCGGAGGATCAGTTACGGCTGGTAATATACTTCTCTACCTAGAATCTCGTCTTGGTACTTATACTGGTTTGTGTCAAATAGCATGTTGGGGGACAACTTTCCTGACCCGCCTAACTTGTATGGTTCTGAATTTTCTTAGGAATGGCCATATTTGACACCATGAGGCATATCCGACCTGATGTCTCAACCGTGTGCGTTGGACTTGCTGCTAGGTATAAATTTATTGATTTTATTGTTTCTGTTTGTAGTGCAATTACATTGTCATGTTACAATGTGGAACACCGGAAATAAGAATTGTTGCAGCAATGTCTCGTTTGTCTCTTAATTAAGGAATATTGATCTTAACTTGGATACTTAAATTTGGTATTTGATTCATTCTGAATTTCTGACAGATACTTGGACCTTGATGATAATATTTCCTAATTTATATTTTACATGTCCGGATGGGTTGTGCTACTTGAAGTTAATGGAAATGTATAATATACATTTGAATGCGAATGCTATTTTTTGTTATTGTTAATGGATATGTTTTGCTTTTCCGTGAACAACATGGGAGCTTTTCTGCTTAGTGCGGGAACGAAAGGTATATGCTAGTGTTGCGCCATTCGTAGCTCCGTCGATTGGTGTGCTATCACTCCAGTCTACTTAAGTTGTGTATTCCCTTTGTTTTCATCATAATTTCAGGAAAACGATACAGTTTACCTAATTCAAGGATAATGATACATCAGCCTCTTGGTGGGGCTCAAGGAGGTCAAACCGATATCGATATCCAGGTATGCACTTTTCGCGGCAAACCTCATGCTGTTTAAATTTTGTACTTCTGCATTCCTTATCCTCTGTATCCCTGACTACTAAACACGATTCTCAGTCAAATGAAATGCTGCACCATAAGGCGAACTTAAATGGGTATCTCGCTTACCATACTGGTCAAAGTTTGGAGCGGATTAACCAGGATACCGATCGTGATTTTTTCATGAGCGCAAAAGAAGCAAAGGAATATGGACTTATCGACGGTGTCATAATGAATCTTCTTAAAGCTCTTCAGCCGCTAGCTCCTGCAGCTGATAGTAACGAATAGCCCAGTCGATCTTCAGGTACTTCTACGATCAATGGCATGGCTATATTGTAGAGATAACTCGAAATGATTATTCAATTATCTGATCGTCTCGTCAAATACGGGATAATCTTGAGATGAATTTGGATGTTAGAACCAAAACTTCCTTGTGGATTTCATGTACTCCCATTCTGTTTAAAATCACCGAATTATGAACTGAAAACGCCAGTGTAGCACAGTGATCCCATGGTAGACACTGTGAACCTGGTAAAAAAGTATAAGCATGGCTCCTGGTCGGGTGACTCTAGATTGATGTCGGGTTTCTGACACCTATCGTACTGGAGTACAGGTTGTCGCATCGACAGTGATCAACAATGGGAATTTGATAGTTTGAGTGATAACTAAGATACCACTTTTCTTTCATAGCCTTGACATGACCACCCACCAATAAACTCTAGTCCTTGTTTTTTCATAGGTTCAGTAAAAACGGATGAAGGTAGGTCAACAATCATTGAAATAATGCGAATGGACAAGGTAAAACTCGAATGACACGCCTGTGTGCAAACATGGGCGTTTGGCAAATTGGAAACCGTGTCCCTAGGGGTCTTTTCAATCAAGTTCGAAATCGAATCGAATCAAAACTTATTCTTAAAAAGCATCGAACTCTTGAAGCTTTAACAAATGCTCATAATTGCAAGTTTCGCCTCCCATGTATTCCAAGTATCCATTGTGAAGAAAAAAGTTAAAAGGAACCCAAAAACAAGAAAAAAAAACTTCCATTTTAGTCATTGTAGTTATGATTTTTTTTTATTTCGTTCTCTAGATCGTCAAACCATTAATGATAATTGATGAGACATGTTAGAAAACCCAAAGATTTGAAAATCATTGAGCTACTCTTTTTTTTTCGGTTTAACTCGGTGAATAACATTTCAATCACCTCAAATCTTAATAAAATTGTTAAATTAAAGCTTTTTGGTTTGACATGGTCAATTATTGGATCAATTTGAAATCGAATTACGCTAATTATTTGGTCAAATTGAGTGTTCTCATCATTGGGATTAATCGATAACTACTTTGGTCATTGAAAATTTGGTTTTTATGGTTTTTTATTTTGCATATCAGCTTTTCTTAATTACAAATAATGCAATGACCGTTCAAAGTTTTAGTGAAAGTATAAGTTTTAAAATTCTTATAACCAAAATTAAAGCAGTTTAAAAGTTTGGTGGCCATCAATGTATTTTACCCTTTGTTTAATACTTAAATGTTGAAAGGAGCTTCTCACCTAACAAGAAAAGCAGTGCCCCCGGTGGCATCAATGAAAGAGCCCATCTTTCCATCCCAATCTCCCACATCGATAGGAAACGACACAATTTCACAAACTTTCCATGCCACACTGATCCAACTTTCTCATTTTGTGAACCCATATACAGGAAAAAAACACTAGAAAATGACAGTAGGTGGAGGCATAACATAATCCCTTGCAATATGAACATCTAAATTTACATGTTTTTCTATGAACACTTGGATCAGGAAGGGACAACAGGAATCCCTTCATCGAAAAACTTGCTTCTCATGAAACTAGTGAAAGCTGAACACATGGGCAGTTCTTCGAGCTCATCAAAGAAATCATTTTCGTCTGGTGTTGAAGACGATGACGCCTTTATACGAGGACAAGAAGAGAGTGGCTCTTCATCCAACAGAAACACTCCCTCTAGATTCCCACTGAAAGGATCTTCTTGGTTGATCCTTAATGGGGACTGTAGATAGTGGAAATGCTCCTCTTCACATCCATTCTTCACTTGTTCCGGTTCTTCTCGTGAAACTTTGGGCCGATCATCGTTGTTTTCTGGTTCTTTCGGTGACCGTGTTCGGTTTTTGGGGTTGAGATCGGGGCCTGGATGGTTGTGAGTGGAAGTGTAAGTGATGATGAGCATCGAAGCATCCGTTTTGCATCTCTCGACTTGTTTTTTGGCTGAACATGCTTTTGATGTGCTGCACTTGTAATAACCCCTGCATGATCAAACGTGAATGAAACCGCACAACTACGAACATGAAGAAGAAGAAGAAGACATCATCAGAAAGACAAACAACCTCGGATAAGGCGACCCCTTGATGGGTTTTTGCCCATATTTCCTCCAACACCATGAATCAGAAGGCGGCCCTTCATTCTTTCCTTCTCCACCATTTTCACCTATCTTCACTGTCACAACAGTTCTCTCGACAACCACCTTCCTGGTAATCAAAACATGACCAGAATGTAGAAATGTCGGAAACTGAAGTTAAATGCATGCAGGTGAAGCTTAAACTAACCTTCTTTTGGATGCCTGAGTTTCGGTTGGTTTGAGCTCTGAACCATCCATTAACACAAATCTTATCCCTTTCTTGTCACTCCTTTAGTGTAAAGTTATAAGAAACTCTATGCATAAAATCATCACTCACCACTCACCACTCACCATCGTGCAATAAAATAAAAGCCATTACCACACACTGCTGCTGCATATAAATAAATATAGAGTAAATTACATATTTAATACATAAACTATTAATTTTAGTCTATTTTAATACCTAAATTTCAAATCTTTCTAAAATCAATCCTATCGTTATTTAATAGAAGTTTCCACGTGACATTTTTCATGGGTAAATTACGTCATTCATCCCTTAACTATATTCTCACTCTTATTTGATCATTATAGTTTAAAAAATTTCAATTTAAATTCTCAACTTTCAAATTCTTCATGTTTTAATCACTCTAATTTAATTTATTAATAATATTATCACATGATATTTTTATTATTTTATTAATATATAATTGACATAAAAAATAAAATTAAAAATTAGATTGATTAAATTAAGAGTAATTTAAAACTTAAGTAATTAAATTAAAAAAATAAATTTTGATAATCAAAATAGGAGTGATAATATATTTAAGGGATGAATGATGTAATTTACCCATAAAAATTATCAAATTATAACCATTTAATTAAATTTTTAACGACAGATATTAAAATAAAATAGATATGATTATAAAATATATAAAAATTTAGATACTAATACAGATTAAAACTAATAATTTAGACACTAAATACATAATTTATCCACAAATACATGCAGATGTTTCAACGACAAACACATTGCCAGCCCCATCCTCCACTTCATTGGTTTGAGCAAGATTGGGTTGGGCCGATTTCTCTGCCCATAAACACAAACAATTTCCTGCCCCATCCTCTACTTCATTGGTTTGTGCAAGATTAGCTTAAATTTATCCTAAACTTTAAAATGTTCTAGGCTTTTTTTTTCAATTTGATACTTAATGTTTTATTCCGTAACTTAAGTTTTGAATCTGATCAAGACGGACCGTTAATTTTAAATCTGATCAAGACGAACCATTAATTTTAACCGTTAAATACTACCTAATATTTATTTAATATAAAAAATCAATTTTGTCATTAAAATAATAATGGAAATTGAAAAAAAAAACATTTTTAACTTTTACCCTTTAACCCTAATTCCTTCCCCTCTCTTCCCCTTCCATCCCTTCCCCGCCACTCTCTTCCCAGCACCGACGGTTCCTTCTCCAACGGAAGCCGACGATCCCTCCAAAGAGAATATTCGAACTATTTAATTTTCGAAAACCGACATAAAACCCGATATTGAAAATAAACAAGCCTACTGAAGCTCCCAACTCAACTTACATGGCTGGACATCAAAAGGAAAGCTTTGGCATTGGGACTAGCTTAAGGTCACATAGATCACCAGTTATGAGCCAATTGTAGTGATCTAAACGTTACAAAAGAAGAACAAAACAGGAGATAAATCCTTTTAGTTGATTGCAGCCTGCTATAATGATGTACTGTTAAATTTGTCATTTGTTACAAAACCGAAATAGATTGAATCTTTGAAAAACGAAAATAGATATTCTATGTAATCTTTATAAATCATCAAACCCTCATTGTCATTTCAAGCTTTGAAAGCACAAGAACAGCCTGTTGATAATATGTTATTTTACACAAATACTGCACATTGGGTTCAAAAAAGAAAAACAACCATTTTTCTGTTAAAAAAGAAAAGGAAATCAAGTGAAATTAGAAAACTAGATGGAAAACCAGGAAGAAGGAGAGATTACTCATAAAGCGTCGTCATTCTGAATGGAACTTTGATGAAACTTACCTGGCAAATCAAATCCCCCAAGAAAGGAAAGTCCGCCTCTTTTTTTATGGGGGAAGTCAGAGTTCGAGTATTCTCTTTGGAGGGGTCGTCGGCTTCCATTTGACAAGGAACCGCCGGTGCTGGGAAGAGAGTGACGGGGAAGGGATGGAAGGGGAAGAGAGGGGAAGCGATTAGGGTTAAAGTGTAAGAATTAAAAAGGATTTTAACTATTAATTCTCTTTGGGCTCTTTTGTTTATAGTTTAATCCATGGTTTTCAGAATCGGACCGGTTAATGAATCGGTCATGCTACTGGTTCACTAGTTCAACCGATAGAATCGATCTAATCGGTCAAAAAAATCGATTTGATCGGTCGAAAGAACCGGACGACATCATAATTATTTAAAAAATTAAATAAAAATACAAAAAATATTTAATAAAAAATAAATTTTTATATCACAAGTCATATTTAAAGCAAATCATAATATATATAAGTTAAAAACCATAAAATCAAGTGAAATAAAATGATTCAAATTAACTACAACATAATATTTAAGGTAAACCATATTAAATAATAAATATAATTATATAACTATAATTAAAAAATAAATTTGGGACTAAAAAAATCATAACAAAATGATATTGTTTGGTTTAATTTTTTTTTAAAAACAATCTCACATGGCTAAGAAACATAAAGATCATCCCAACTAACTTCTATAAATAATAGAGGTAATTTGACATTCAAAATTATGGAGCCTTTTGGTAAGCATTGAGTGAACTATTCTTTCACTTCAATTAAGCTCGGATTTTAGGCTTCAATCGAGCTTCTAATTTTTTTTTTGAGTTCAAGCCTTTTCGAGTTCAAGTTTCAATATTATATTTCGAGTTCGAGTTAAACTTCATAATTTTTAGCTCGTGAGTTTGAATCGAGTTGAGCTTATTTTAAAAATTTTCAAGTTCAAGTCGAGCTCAGCAATGCTCGAGTTCGGCTTGGCTCGTTTAACAAACGACGTCGTTTAGTTTAATTTTTTTTTTTTAAAAAAACAAAATTCTCGGTTTTTCCAGTTTTCAGCCGGTCCGGTTTGAATGGTTCAGCGGTTCTTGCCGATTCACTAGTAACGGTTCAACCGGTCTAGATTGAACCGAACTAGGCAACGATTCCCGATTGAACCGACTGGTACGATCCAGTTTTCAAAACAATGATTTAATCATATAAGGTAATATCAATAACCTCTGTGAATTTTTTGGGCTCTTGTTATTATGTGACCATGTTTCGTCGTGCACATTGCACATGCCTAGCCTCACCTCTGCACCTATCGAAATATCAATAATTAAATATCACCCATTCTATGCCAAGACTGTGATACACCCGAGAAGTACCTCGACTATTAAACGTTAGAAAATGATCACCTAACTATATATTGTGTTATAAATTCATATTTTTTTCGTTAAAAATTAATAGTATTTTGAGCTGAATATTAACTTGTTGAATATTGTAAGATAAAATTTGATTACAGAATCTCAAATGACTATCAATCATCGTGTTAACATCCAGCTTAGACAACCTCCAATTTTTTAACGGAAAAGAGCGTGTTTGAAACATATTGAATAGTAAGTGACTATTTTGTAACTTTTAATAGTCAATGGATCTAACAATGTAATATTCTACAGTCGGATGATCATTTTGTAATATTTGAGGGACTTAATAAAATAGTACCCTATAATATGAGGATCACTTGTGCACTTTAACCAAGAATTAATGTGAATTAAATTATAGTCAAATGACTAAATCCGTTAAAAACTATAAAATATGGACCTTCTAGGCAGTTTGACGGAGCTTTTTTGATATTTATTATGATTAGTACAGGTTGATGCTTTCCTGAATGTACGCTTCGATGAGAAGTTTCAGTAACTCTAAGATGGACAGCGGCTTATTCTCTTTCAATTCAACGTTCGACTTCAATGGAATCCAAGGAAATTACATTAATCTTCACGATTTCGAGAAAGATGCTGCCGTAATAAAAGGCAAACATGATCATCTGTTTGGAAACCAGGAAAATCCTGTTTTTCCCGAGCATGGTTTGTTTCAAGACAACGTAACAAAGATGATTCAAGATCAACAACCGGGACAAGAAACCAAGTTTGATTTTTCCGATGAATTCGATTTCAACCCTGTTTTCTCAACGAATACGGCATTCGAAGAATTTCCAAGGCCTGATCAAAATTCGAAAGCCATTAAAGAGACGCGGTCTTCGTTTCAGTTGTCGTCTCTGGAACTCCTTAGCAACTATGGAAAAAGTTTCAAGAAACTGAGATCGACCAGCGCCGGGGGAGATGGCGGTGAAGGAATTGAACGTGGCCGGAAGAAGCTCTCGACCGAGGAGATTATGAGGGTAGCTGGAACAAGATACGTACAGTTTTCCGACATGAGGTACGATGATTTCTCCATGGTTATGCATCCATTCGGTCATGCTCTTTCGGGTTTGTCCGATGACGAGACGAAAGACGTTGAGCTCGTGCACCTTCTTCTAACCGCGGCGGAGAAAGTAGGGTACGAACAATTCGAACGCGCTAGCAGATTGCTTTCTCGTTGCAAATGGATCGCGTCCGAGCAAGCTAATCCGGTCCAGCGAATCGTCTACTACTTCACCGAAGCTCTCCGAGAGAGAATCGATAAAGCAACAGGAAGGTTAGTACCGAAGGGATCGGAAGCCGGATTTAAGACCGGAACCGAAAACGGATTGAGTACTAGCATTACAACGGTCAGAATTCACCAATACATACCATTTTTCCTAGTAACGCAATTTGCTGGAATACAAGCCATTATAGAGAACGTGGAGTCCGCTAGTAAGATTCATATAATCGACCTTCAACTTAGGAGTGGCATTCAATGGACCGGCATGATACAAGCTCTGGCGTACCGCAAACCGCATCGTGTCGAGCTTTTTAAGATTACGGCTGTCGGATTAGTCGACGACGAGAAGATATTGGAGTCCGGTAAGAGGTTGGAAAGTGTCGCTGCATCGTTTAATTTACCCTTTTCGTTCAATTCAGTTTATGTACGGGACATGGAAGACATCAAGGAAGAGTTATTCAAAGTCCGAAACGACGAATCTTTAGCCGTTCTCTGTCCACTAGTGCTTAGAACAATGATTTCTCGGCCTGGCTGCTTGGAAAATATGATGCGAGTGATGAAAAATCTGAACCCTGCCATACTGGTCGTCATCGAAATCGAAGCCAGCGACAACTCACCGTCGTTTGTGAACCGATTCATCAAAACGTTGTTCTTTTACAGTGCCTACTTCGACTGCCTCGATACGTGCCTGGAACACGAAGCCGAGTTGAGAACGGAGATCGAATCCATGCTTTGGAGCGGGATCCGGAACATAGTGGCCACGGAAGGCAAAGAGAGGATCGTTCGAAGTGTGAAGATGGAAGTGTGGTCGGCATTCTTTAAGAGGTTTAGAATGGTGGAATTGGGGTTCAGCAACTCCTCCTTGTACCAAGCTAATTTGGTGACCAAACATTTCCCTCACGGCGGTTGTTGCACGCTCGAAAACATCGGGAAGAGCCTGATCGTCGGATGGAAAGGAACCCCAATGCAATCGGTTTCGGCCTGGAAATTTTCGAGAGATAAAGGAAGGGTCTTCGCAAACTATAGGTTCTGAAATCCGAAATTGTTACTAGTTTCCTACATTACATTGTAACTTCATTGAGTTTTCATATATGTTTATGTCCATTGGTTGAAGGATATAAAAATATAATGATACGTGTTAAAATTTAAATATATTAAATATCACCGTGTGCGTAAGAGTGATTATAAGGTTCATCTTTTTATCTATTAACATTACACATATTATGCTGACACAATTACTCAAACCCAAGTCCTCTTAAAAATAACAATATTCATTTTTATCGTTAAAGCCAATTAAGTATTTAAATTTATGTTAAATAAATTATTTAATATATACTAATGATTTTTTAGTGAAAAATAACTTGAGTTATTAAAATAAAATAAAATTTATGTTGAATAACTTATTCATGATTTTTTAGGATAAAGTACATAAATGGTCTCCTAATTAGATGTTACTACTTTATTAAGTCCCTCAACTATTAAAAGTTATAAAATGGTCTCTCGACTATATAATGTTGCTTTGTTAAATCCCTCGATTGTTAAAAGTTACAAAAATGGTCATTGACTATTCATTAAATTCCAAGCTCGTCCTTTTCCGTTAAAAAATGGACGGTATTCCAAGCTGAACGTTAACATGTTGACTGTGATATGATGAATTTTTTTTTCTGACTGTGCATATGCAAAGGAAATCTGGACTGCCATCCTTCTCTCCTGTGGTCTTTCTCAGACGCCTCTCGACTGGTATGGTTCTTTCCAGTGGCTGTTACTTAACCTTAAGGGTAAATCTCTGCTAGTGCATATTCTCAAGTTGGCTTGGACTGGATTCATCTACTTCATATGGGAGGAACGAAATCGCAGACATTTTGGAGGAACTCATCGCTTGGCTGGAGCTGTTGTTAGTTGTATTAAAGAATATGTTAGAATCAAATTGCATAGAACTCATATGAATATAATTGATGCTGTAAATAGGGAACTGTGTATAGATTAGGGATTGATGTAGTGTCTTTGAGTATCTGTTTTGTAGCAGCAATTGTTGCCTTCCTTTTTTTGGATGAATGTAATTTTACTTATCCAAAAAAAACATCATGGTAACGTCGAGCTTAAACAACCACCAAATTTTTAATGGAAAAAGACGAGTTTAGAACATAATGAATAGTCAAGTGACCATTTCGTAACTTTTAACAGTCGATGGACTTAACAAAGCAACATTGTATAGTTGGGTGACCATTTTATAACTTTTAATAGTTAAGAGACTATTTGTGTACTTTACCTTTTTTTAATGATCAAAATAAAAATATTTGATAGTTGAATATAGTTGACCCTTTTATGTTTTGTAGAGGCAAGTTATAACTTAGGCTTAAAGCTATAGCCCGTTGAGATTCCTCGGGCTAAATTTAATGTATATTAATAAATGATTGAGCCCATGAAACGCATAGGTAAACTGATCTGAAATGCTGGAACTAAGTACCCAGTAAAGGCCACGTAACAATGACCCACACGTGTCGACCCTTTGCTTTGCTTCTTTACATTTTTTTTTATTTCTTCAGATTCCTGACTAGGAAGTTGCAGAGCAAAACCACCAAATCAGCCAACGATGGTCTCAAAAGGGAGCGATTCTTCCTCTAAATCCAGAGTTAGAATCTCTATTCCTATCCTTTTGATCTTCATTTTTTCCCTTTTCATATCTTCATTTGCTTTAAGCATTTTCACTATCATAAAGAGCTGGTTATTAGTTGTGTTATTCACTGTATCATTTAAACATGAAATTTAAATGATTTTCAAATCGGATTTTGGTCCTTAGAGTATAAACTATAACTTAGACTTGAAATTCCTCTGCATATGATCCGCGAAAGAAGTCGTTTGGTTTATGCGAGGCAGAGCTTTGTCTCAGTTCCATGGCCGTTCACTGCCCCTTAGGCTCTGTTTGGCTGCTATTGAATTATATTGAAACAGAAAATAGAAAAAAAAAACCGGAATTGAGTTTTTTTTTTGGCCTTTCAAATTTCCGTTTTAGCTTACTCGTCAACGTTTTGTTTCGTTATTATTATTTTATTTATATTGCAGAAATCACATGGAGAATACTCTTGTGGCGGCGTTGGAAACTTGACACATAAGTTAAATCAGCTTAAAAGGCAAATTCAAGCAGAAAGAACAGCTTCGGTAAAGGTATATTAGTTAATTTAGTTACTTAATGTTTCACTTATTATTATTTATATTGTCATTGAATTTGAATAGCGTGATCATTTTTAGAAATAACATGAAATCTAACCTTTTTTCCCATCAATGCGTGCAAATTCCATGAGCAACTCTTAACCCTGTTATATTCGGCTTGTCTAAGTTGAATTTGTCTGTGCTCCAACCTGCTAGATGAGATGCAAATAAATTATATTCATATTGTGTGGTGTGCACAGGAAAAAGTCGAGAAGAATAAAAAGAAGCTTGAGAGTCATGTTACGGAGATTTTGTCAGCTACATCAAGTAGGAATGTTCCGTGTGCGGAGGACAATGGATTTTGTAAAATGCTTTCTGCAAGAATCCAAATTCCTTTATGTAAGCTTGCCGGATTTGCTCAAGGGTCAGGAGGAGACTATGCTAATGGTCATGAAGTTGTATCTTCAACAAGTGTCAAGCTTCCGTATGTTGAGAAGTTGCCACCATATACGACATGGATATTCCTGGACAAGTATGTTGGATTAATATATTAGTCTGCCTAGCTCTGAGTGTTCTATTCTCTCTGTTTATGTACACTGTGCTTCTGCTTTGACTTGGTAGGCCACTAGAGAGCACTTGATCTGAATAGCTTTAGCCATTAGGTCATGGGCTAGCCATGCTTCTTAAGTCTTCTCCAGTTAAGGATTATCATTTGAGGAGCTTTCTTGAAAGGGCTTGAATTAGTGTTGGCACCAAGCTTAAGCCATTAGCAAAAGCTAGCCCCCTCAAGGTTTTGTTACTATTATTTAGTTCAAAGTGGAGATTTCAGCAGCACAAGACTCCACAGATGAAATCTACCATCTTTTCTCAGCTTATCTTGTTTTCCATGAGATTTTATTTTGGCCCGTCTTATCTTAAGTATGCACAATTCAGCACAGAAATCAGAGAATGGCTGAAGACCAATCTGTTGTTGGAAGGAGACGTATATACTACGACCAACACGGCAGTGAAGCTTTGATCTGTAGTGAGAGTGAGGAAGACATTGCTGAGCCCGAGGAAGAACAACATGAATTTTCTGAAGGTGAAGATCGTCTTTTGTGGTAAGTAAAATAAGATGCAACCTCCATTAATAAATAGAGGAAGTTGTGCACATTTAAACTTAGATTGCTGAACTTCCTGTGCCTTCTCCTCATCATACTGGTCAGAAGTCGACATCATCTACGGAAATGCAACTGGTAGGCATTGTTGATAATCTTTCAATGTATGTGGCCTTGGACCTATTACTGTTGTAGTGCATGGTGAGATGTAGTGAGAATGTATAACTTGATGGCAAAATTGTGTCTGGTTCTTCTGCTGTTTTCAGTTTTTACTGTGTTAGACACTTCATACTGGTATTTATTTCAGTATATGTAACTGGCCTTGAGTTTAGTGCGGAAGTGACGCCCTGTCATTCTTAAGAAACGTTTATTTGGATTTTTACTGAACTGTGGATAAGTTATTTTCTTTTGCACTTTATGGGAAAAAATACGGCTCAATCATTTTATATTAACAATTTGAATTTGGTAGGAATGTCTGTCAGGAGTATGGTCTAGGTGAGGAAATATTGACGTCTGTCAGCCAGTTTTTGGGAGTCACCAGCTCTGAGATCCAGGTATTCTGCTATAAACATGGACACATGATTGCCTTCCTTGTATGATATTTGGTTTCCTTAATCCTTCCAAGGTTTGTGTTTACATACTATTTTTTAAATATTTATTAGTAACTGTTTTCTATAAGATTTGCAGGATCGGCATGGCTTGCTCAGAGACAAATACAGTGACCAGAACATTCAAGATTCTGTATCTGAGAAGGGTATATTTTTGGACAAGAGCCTCAGTGCTGCCTTAGATTCTTTTCATAACCTCTTTTGCCGCCGCTGCTTGGTACTATCTCTCACCACCATTCTTAATGTTATTCATTAAAGAGAAACATGGGCAGCAGGCAGCTTTTTTTACATTTTTAAAAACCTTTCTGATAAAAATTTTAAATGCCTACAGTTATTTGATTGTCGTCTTCATGGTTGTTCCCAATCTTTAATTAACCCTGTAAGCAATATGTTTCTTGTCTTTCAATTTAATGTGATTTTGTTTCATTAGTTTATCTGATTTGGAACCTATTGATTTACAGAGTGAAAAGCAACCATATTGGTCCGAATACGAAGATGACAGGAAGCCTTGCAGCGATCAATGTTACCTCCGGGTTTGGTTTTATTATTCTATTGTGCTAAAAACCTTGTATGGTATTGTCTTATGAGTTGATACTGCCAAAACCATTCTTGTTGATAACTTTATGATCTAAAGTTCTCCCTTGTTCTCCAAATATTTGCATTCTTTATTGTTCCCTGGTTCTGTTCTTCATCCTAGAAACATGGGTTCTGATGCAAAATTTATTCATATTTCCACTTTCACAAATTAGCCTCCTATATCCGTGTTTATCTGTATCTCATTCCGTTTGTTTGTAGTCTAATTTGTTATTTCTTAACGAAGAGAAGTAGATTGTTTTAGCACTTATATGCCTGTGTTGCTGAGACATGTTTGATTTGATATGAATTTGCACATGTTCATATCCTTCGAGTACCTTCTTGTTTCTTTTCAAGCATACAGATTTTGTATTAAGATTTTTATTTCGATATAAGATCTTTTATTTTTTCGGGAAGGAATAAAACTTTTTTTTATTTCAACATCAATTCGTGCAGTTAAGAGCTGTCAAAGATGTGGCAGAAGGTTCAGGTGTCAAAGCATTGCATGGAGTGAAAACTGCAACTTTAGAAGAGAAAGACCTGGCTGTGTCATCTGATGCCAAAGAGAAAAAGACTATTGCTGATGCAGATCTCAAGCAAGATGACAGAGGAGAAGAAAGGCTTGTTGGGTTAGAAGGTATTAATGACTCAGAATGTGCTGGTGAAGCTCGAACTTTGGTGATATCTTCCATACCAATGGATAACCATGAAAGTTCTGGAAAGCGGAAAGCCTCCCAAGAACCATTAGATGATCCACTACACTGTTCTGATGGCAGCCAGGATTTTGCAAGTAAGAAAAAGAAGACGTTACTGGTTTTGGATGTAGCCACAAAGTCTTCTGAAGCTATTCCAAGTCATGCCGGTGATGAAAGTAGTAAAAGTAGGAATGATGATGTTGGCACTCTTAATGAAAATGAAGCTCAAATTACAGCCAAAAACAACAAAAATGAATATGGTGAAAGGGGATTGGAAATTTTTACTTGTCCTGCTAGTGCTTCCAAGACCAATGATAAGATAGGGAATGAAGGCAAAGATGTTACAGAGGTGCCTGATTTGAAGTGGTCTTCTTCCGAATGGAACCCCATCGAGAGAGAATTGTATTTGAAGGGAGTGGAGATCTTTGGGAGAAACAGGTAGAAGAGATTGGAAATTTTTTCAGTCTTTTGCTTTGCACAAAATGCAAATAGATATTATGAGTTAAATATAAGGGTAAACTACGCATTTATTACCTAAACTATCAGTTTTGGTCCGTTTTAGTACCTAAACTTTCAATTTTTTCAAAAACATAACTAATGTTTAGTTATGTTTCATTTTAGTACATCATTGTTAAAAACTTAACTCGTTTAGTACCTAAACTATCAATTTTGGTCTATTTTAGTACCTAAACTTCAATTTTTTTCAAAACTTAACGTTTCTTTTTGAACAGAGGTACTAGAATGAAACAAAAAGTAAACTTTAGGTACAGTTTTGAAAAAATTAAAAGTTTAGGTATTAAAACGAATCAAAACTGATAGTTTAGGCACTGAATGCGTACTTTACCCTAAATATAAATACTTTTTTATATTTGGCATTAGTTTCTGCAGTTCTAGGTATTTAATGGACTAAACTGCAGCAGCTTTCTTAGAGGACTAAAATGTGCTGAGCAAACAAAAAAAAACTCGGTTAAAATTGTGTATCATGCTCATATTTGTACAATTCACCTGCTTTACACTCTCATTGTGATGAACGTGTCACATTTAGACGGTTGTGATTAAACATCTTTCTTCTCTCTCCTAGATAACAGTATGTCTATGCTTCTACTAATGCATGATTCATGCTTTACAGTTGCCTTATAGCCAGGAATTTACTCTCTGGTTTGAAGACTTGCATAGAGGTATCAAGTTACATGTGTGATGGTGGAGCGTCAACACTTAATAGGTCCATCATGACAAGTTCATTTTTGGAAGAAAATGGGAAATCTGAATCAGATTATATGGTGTATATCACTACCCTAACTTCTCTCTATTTCTTACTATACGGTCTTTCTTTGATAAGGGATGAAAAAGAAACGGTTTCCAGTCCTCAACATGCATGATTCTCTTGAGGCCATTTCTTTAATGCTTCATATTAAGTTTAAATACTTGCAAATTCAGAAAAATATATTTCTTTCCTATTAAACTAGTAAATTACAAAGAATATTTGAGAGTCCCTATAATTTTTTTGATAAGAATGGGAGGTCTTATTAAAATCCCCCCTTCATACTTCTCGACCCACCATAGGGTATGCCAATAGGTAGCAGAAGAGGGAAAAAAGTACCTCAAATTTATTCAAGGTTCAAATAAAACAAAGTTCAACCAAGAATAAGAAAAATACAACCCAGCTACAAACCACATAGAAAGCTAGGCATCAATCCTGCAAAACTACCCAAAAAACCAAAGCTAAACCAAATATCCTGAAAGAGGAAACCCATCCTGAAAGATTTTGAATTAGTCGAGCTTATTCTTTGTTGTCTGATTTCCGGGAACAATGGTAAAATAGAGCCAAACTTACTACTTTGCCGCATTTTGATTTTCTTCGTACTTAATTATGCAACTTCTAATTTTTCATTATTAATTGATCTCAATCACTTCATTATACCGAGCATTGTATTTTGTAAGGATGAATAGTTGGTTCTCCATTGTAGACCTTTCTCTTTCCCCTTTACGTTGCGTTATAAATACTTGTACCCTATTAACGTTCTTTCTGTAATTCAGGAGCAAGAGATGTCAACAAGACCAAGATTGCTTCGTAGAAGGGGTAGAACACGGAAACTTAAATATTCTTGGAAATCAGCTGGCCATCCTTCAATTTGGAAAAGAATTGTAGATGGAAAAAATCAATCTTGCAAGCAATACACGCCGTGTGGATGCCAGTCGACGTGTGGAAAGCAATGCCCTTGTCTTCACAATGGAATTTGCTGCGAAAAGTACTGTGGGTAAGTTAAATTGTTTTAACATGCAAATATGAATCATATAGAACCCATGTTATGGGTAAGCAAACCTATATCTCAGTGAACCTGAAATATTTGCAATTGACTAGCTGCTTTTGTTATGGATAAATTGAGTTGTTTGGATATTTTTAAATTCTTTTTTGTTATTTGAACCACAAATTCCATGAGCCACATCAAGTCCAGAACACTATAAATTCAAAGAATTATGATCATCCAGATGCTCGAAGAGCTGCAAAAATCGGTTCAGGGGATGCCACTGTGCAAAAAGTCAATGCAGAAGCCGCCAGTGCCCTTGTTTTGCTGCTGGGCGTGAATGTGACCCAGATGTTTGCCGGAATTGTTGGGTTAGGTAAAGTTTCGTAGTTTTGTTTTACATGTTACAATAATGTTCTGCTGGTATTAAATATTTGTACGTTTTGCAGTTGTGGTGGGGATGCGTTGGGCGAGCCACCAAAACGAGGAGATGGTCAGTGTGGAAACATGAGGCTTCTTCTAAGGCAACAGCAGAGAGTGAGCAACTTAGAATGTTTTAGTTTTAAAATTATGTTTCCAAAAAAGCTCTTATTTCTCTTCTTGGCTGTAGTTCTAATCTTTCGGTTTTGTATTTCTTCAGATCCTCTTGGCAAAGTCTGATATTGCAGGATGGGGAGCATTTCTAAAAGTAATACAGTATTCCACTTTTCCTAATGAAAACCTTTGGATAGTTAATTGTTTCGTGTTTTCTTCGATTGTGTTCGAATTATTTTTCGTTAACTTGAGGGTGTGGTTCAGAATTCTGTCAACAAAAATGATTATCTTGGAGAATATACCGGCGAATTGATCTCCCACAGAGAAGCAGACAAACGAGGGAAAATTTATGATCGTGCAAATTCATCTTTCCTTTTCGACTTGAATGATCAGGCAAGTGGAATCGAAATCCTGCATTTGGAACCGAAGTTTCCTTCCATTAACAAAAACAACTCTTTCGGTTCTGATATCGAAAGGATCATGTTCAAATCTAATATCACATTGACATGTATATTCTGAACGAAGATGCTATTTTGTCTTTGCAGTATGTCCTTGACGCTTACCGCAAAGGAGACAAGTTGAAATTCGCAAACCACTCTTCTAACCCAAATTGCTATGCCAAGGTATATAACTGTCCCTAATTCTTTTAGGGGCATTTCTTGCTAATTAAGCTAAAATCTTTAGCTTGCACAGGTAATGTTGGTGGCTGGGGATCATCGAGTAGGAATCTTCGCCAAGGAACGCATCGAAGCTAGTGAAGAGCTCTTTTACGATTATCGCTATGGTCCAGATCAAGCACCTGCATGGGCTAGGAAACCCGAGGGTTCCAAAAGGGATGAAACATCAGCCTCTCAAGGTAGAGCAAAGAAACACCAGTCTCATTGAAGCACCGTTACGTCGACCAGTTTAGCACGTTTTCTATCATCAGTTATTTACTATCATCGCCTTCGGAGAAGGCGTCATTGTATGTGCATAGTCAGTTGCATAAGTTGGTCCTCAAGTTACGAGGGATCAAGAAATAAAAGGTAAAAATAATTGCCTCGGCAGCAAGCTAGGTATCTAACAATACATATGGGTGCTAGAAAGCATGTTGTTATTATAGAAATAATAGAAGTTCCAAAATGGTCGACTCTGTTAATACATTGTGCATGCTAATTTACAACATTACAAGCTGAATGAATTGAAAGAGAATGTACAAGTTAACAATAGAAATTGTTAGTGATATTTGGATTTTTGTTTCGACTGCAAATGGAAAAACAAAATTTCATTCCATGTATCTGGAACACCAGGAAGGCACCAATGGCTGCAATCTTGAATACTGGAAGAGTAACGAGTCCCCAGTTTTTTCCCGTATATCGATGGATGACCGTCGATCCTATATGCGGATAAACCGGTTACATTCAGTAATGTTACTGGCGTTTTCATCTGCAAAATCACATCCTCCACAATTCTATTCTTCTCAGGGTATTCCATGCCTGAAGTGTCATCAAGGGGCCAAGTGGCTTTCATACAATGGCCGCCTGAATTCCACTGTCCTCCCCTGTTTAATGATCAGAGCCAAGTCAGTAAAACCGATAGAGGTAGACGTTTTCTTTTAGCTTTCGGGTCAACCGATCTGAGATGTTAAAAGAAGGGGAAGCGTGAAATACAAGCAAACCTGAAATGGGATGGTGCCGAGTTTCGAAAGAAAACTCGGGTTCTTCTCGGATTAATGTGTCTATCAACCCATGCTGCCCAAGTCATCAAAGCTTTTCGGAAAGCTGCGGAAACATCAAGCTTGGGAAGTACTTGATTCCCTTCCTGATAATAGTTGATCCTAAAAATGAAAAATTTCCGATTGACACCAAAACATTGTTACAAAAAGCATATAAAAGATTTAGCACATTATCACAACACTGTCATCCTAGTTCACAAAGCACAGCATTTACCATTCGGACCATGATTGAATTCTCTAGCTCAACACAGTCAAGAAAGATCATATTGACAACTTTAGGGTATATGCCAAGGGTTTTTCCCCGAAGAATCGTAGTTCAAAAATGGCACTAACCCGGCTTTTGTTTTGTAATGAGACCACCAATGTGCAGTGTTGAAGACCAAAATATCAGCTCCTTTCCATCTGGATGAACCGTGATCGATGGCGTCGATTCTCAATGTGGGCCTCCGTTTTTGCCCTATTCTTGCCTTGCTTTCATGAACCAGAAAGTGAGAAACATAGTACTCAACTGTACACTTGTGATCCTGCAGAAACAGGTGCCAACTTCAAAAAAAAAAAACCAACTAACCCAGACACTAACATAAAATTGAACAGAGAGCAAATGAACTCTAAACAATCAATTAATTACCACAAATTTGAAGCTATAATTCCCTTTTTCTTTGGTGATTCTTCTTCCATGAGTTTCATAGGGCTTTCTTTGGATCTTTTACAGCTGTCATTAACATGCAAAGCATGGATTCCCATTGGTTTCTATTAATCGAATCCCCAACAAAGACCAGTCTTTTCCCTCGGATCAAATCCAGCATTTTGGCTGCATTGAACCTAAAACAGATAAAAGAACCAGTCTTTTACCAACTCAATTGCTATAATTTGCATATCAAAGAGAAAGTAAAAAAGAAAACCAAAACTCACCTGGGAAAATCACAATCTTGTGGCTGCCATTTCCACTTCATGTAGTTCTTATCTCGTCTTCCATTGGTGTCACAACTAAAACCTTCATCAATGAAAGGACAGGATCGATTTGTGTAGAGTGGATGGCTCTCATCGTAAACCCACTTCCCCTTTGTTAAATCACAGCCATTCATCACCTTCTCCTCAATCTCCCCATTACTCGGAGGAGCTTTAAATTTTTCAACAGAAGTCACTTCTTTACTGCTTGGAAGCTCAAATTTGTCAACTGGATTTGCTCTCACTTCATCTCCTTCAGTTGTTTCATTGGCTTCAACTTCAATGTCTTCCATTGAAGGTGCAGGTGTTTCCTCTGGTTCAGTTTCCCTATCACCATCTTCTGGCACTTCACCCTCGTTTTCTTGTATCTGGATCTGCTTAAAAACTGAGAAATTTCCAGACCCAGATTCATTTCTGGGTTTCAAAAGATGGGTATCTTTTACTATTGAATGCTTTAAGATTTCTGCAGAACTGTTGCTACTGAAACTGCTCAAGCTCTCTACGGTCATGGGTTTATGGCCACCCAGATTGAAAACTGAATTATTGAACTGAAAATGAATATCCTGGTGAATTGAAGGGTTGGATTTGAGGACCCAAGTAAACAAGGAAACAAGGAAGATTAAAGAAGAAGATATTGTGAAAGCAGACACTAAGAATCTAGTGGATGTGGAGGAGAAATTTCTTTGTCTCTCCATCAATGAAGTTCGCCGGTAAAATGCTTCAAAAATACAGTAAAAAGAAGAGTTTTTTTTTTATTTAATAGGATTTGGTAGAGGAAAATTATCACTTATGCATGTTCTGCGAAGACGAGGGTAAAAGCACGGATTTTTCAAGAAATTACAGCAAAAGAATTGACCATTTCAGGCTGAAACTGTGGCTTCTAGTTACCGATAACCTGCCTCTGTTGAAAAACCAAACATATTTTTCAACTGGTCAATAAAAAAACATGAAATTTGGGAATATCATAAACTCCACTCTTGGACACGACACCGCGCAACACGGACATAGCTGGCGACACCCATGCTCGTGGGCAATGTTCGGTTCAATGGGTTTGCTGGAGTTTGAACAAAATACTTTTCATTAAACAAAGCTACTCAACATGCTGAATCCATGGATTAAGATTGCAAAGGTTTTTTTTTTCCTTTTCTCTCTCATTAACAATTATATTATCTGAATTTCTTTAGGTTAAACTACGTATTTAATTATCTAAATACCATTTTAATTTTATTTTAATCACTTAAATTTTTTTATATTAAAATCATCTTTAATGTTACGTTTTGATTTTATTCATTTTTTTAATGGAAAAGGAAGCCATAAACTAAGCTTTAACACGAATGATTTTATTTTAATCATATGTTGTTAAACAATTAATAAAGCTGTTGATGTCAAATTATATTATAGTGACGCATCAACATTATCATTGAATTTTATCATAGATGATTCAGATTTTAAAAAAAATTAATTGAATCAAATCGAATAATTATAAATGTGTTTTATTAGATCTACGCATCGACATTACAGTTTTCCTATTAAAAACCTTACTGTTATATTTACATATTCATCCAACAACATTGCACACATCCGAACACATCGAACCACACCAAGAAGAAGCAATGGCAACCTTGTCTAGTGTTAACCTCGTGACCCCGAGACCCGTCGTCGTAGCCAATCTGCCGAAGTTCGCAAAGGGTGGCCCCGTCGCGGTCCCGATTCTTAACCGGCCATGGAAAAGGGTCTACCGATTGGGGTCCAGAGGGCTGCGGGGAACCGGACCGGTGAGAGCCGCACCCGATGGAATATCGGAGAAGGTGGAAAAAAGCATCAAGGAAGCGCAGGAGGCGTGCTCGGACGATCCGGCGAGCGGGGAGTGCGTGGCGGCTTGGGACGAGGTGGAAGAGCTGAGTGCGGCAGCTAGCCATGCTAGGGACAAGAAGAAGGATGACGACCCCTTGGAGAATTACTGCAAAGAGAACCCGGAGACCGATGAGTGCCGCACTTATGATAATTGAAATGCTTGTTTAGTTTTATTTTGATGATGGAATTATTGGGGTAGATTTTAGATAGTTTCTCTTATATGTTGAATTTAATATTTATTGGTGGTTTTAATTGGTATAATACAATAGAAAATGAAAAAGAAAAATATAATATTAAATAAGTTTTTATATATATTTTTTGTTTCAGTCGATGAATGTTAGGTGCTATTCATATTCATGTTCGTGATTAACTCGGTACTGAGTTGGTGCAATTAAGGCCACGAAAAATGATTGAGAAGGTGCTTAATTGAATCTAAATTTAAAATGATTCGACTCGATCTCGATCCGAATGACCCGATTACCGCTTTTAAATAGAAATCAAATAAATAATCCAAATGAAATATTGAAAATAATAAAGGGCAATCATTGAATTTGTAAACTGATTAGCCAGAGTTATGGTTTCAGCAAAAGCAAACATCCCAGACAGACTCAAAATGAAACATAAACCTAATTATATTACCTAAAACGATAAACAATTAGAAATCCAACATCATAAACCGACCCCGAGTAGGAAGAAGGCTTGAGCCATCAGAAGTCGATCGCATCGGAAGACGCCATTATCGGAATTATCGGAAAGGGGGTTTGCCACGGCTGCATCAGAGGATCTGCGATCTCCGGGGCATCAACAGCGTACCCGCTGCCTTCTCCCTCAAGCCGCAGCAGCAGCATGTTCAGGGAGTTCAATCTGTCGGTCAATTCCGTTTCTCGAGCCCTTAACACGTTGTTGGAAGACTCCATCTCGATGAATCGTTCCGTGGCGAGCTTGATCTTTTCAGCGAACTGGCTGTTCTCTCTCTGCAATGCGCTCATTTCGTTAACCAAATCTTCCAGCCGCTTCTGTTTCTTCGCACGTGATCTCCTTGCCGATTCGCGGTTCGACATCATCCTCTTCCTCTTTTTGTCGTCGATATTGGCAGATCGCGGGTCGGAATCGGAGGAACTCGCCGGCTTTTGCACAGTAGCCATCTCAGGGGAAGCTCTGCCCTTCTTTTTTTGGGTATTCGATAGAGTATTTAATTGGAATTGATAAATCGAATGAAAATTAGGAATTTGAATTTTTCAACGGTCAGAGAAATTAGCTTTACACAAGAACATTAAAGAACAAAGAGAGAGCCCACGAGAATACGTAGAACCAGTAAAGGAAGACGACGGAGAACGAGTGAAGAATATGGATTCGATGCATAGGGATAGCGTAGCTCATTTATAACCTAAGATCATTGGAATGATTCTACAAATATTCAAAGATCATACACGGTCGAGAAGTAAAAAAAGATGAAACCCAAAAGAAATCCCTAAATCTTAACCAGATCTCCGGATTAAAAAAAAAACCAAAAAAGAAAAGAGCAAAAACTCTAAGAAAAATAAAACAAAGAAGAAAATTAAGAATACTTAGCTGCTTGAGGAAGAAGAAACAGAGAACACAAGACACACGAGCGATGTAAAGGCGAGGAAGGTCTTGAGAGCAGAACGGAGGTATGCTTTTATAGGCAAAGGGGAGACTGGATAAATGTAATGATAATGAGGTGTAGGGGTATTTCAGGTATTTCAGGTTGTTTTTCTATTGGGAAAGTGCGTGGTGTCACCGCTGGCGTTCATTGACTACAACTAGGAATCCAACACGTTTCTTCACAGTTTGCTTAAGGATTTTACTTTCTAATCAAATATATATTTTCAAACTGCTCATATTTTTTTTCGAGTAAAATATTAAGTAGTTTTTTTTGTTCGTTAAGAATTTGAGTTTATTCGAATCGATTATTTATTGAGATTTAACCGATTTGATCTCGAGTAATTCACAATTTATCTCTTCTCATTTACAGTCTTAATTTAAATTATTTTAATAACTTTTATTTGATTACCGTTATATTTTAAATATTTTTAATAATTTGATAATAAAATTTTATCAATTTTGTAATTTCTAATACTCAAATTTAAGATATTTAAAAATCATAATTATTATTTTTAATTATAGAAATAGTTTGATTAGTACAACAACTATGAAAAATTTCCTTTAAATAATTATTTCAAAATTTTATTACTAATTCTTATCTTTATTTAACGCTACATCATATTTAATAATATTATCCAATTTAAATATATGCTTGAGTCAATCTGTTCTAATATTTATGGTAAGAAGCTTTAATTTAATTAATATTTAATTAATTTGGTTTAATATCCTAATTTTGTAGAATATGATAAAGTTATGCGAGAAAATGAGATTTTCTTCTAAAAAATGTTTTATTTAGTAATATAAAAATTAACTTGTTGATTAAGATGCTAGTTAATAAATTATCTTCGCAATATAAAAAAAAGATTTTTACAAGATAAAAAAGTAGTGATGGCAATGGAGCATACAACCTTAAACTCGAAAACATGTGATTAGAAAATAATATTTGTTCAAAAAAAATTTAATTATTTGATATTAAACATGTATATCATTTACGTTCTTGATGCTTAAATTTGGGAATTTAAAGAATAACAATAATTCATTTAAAATCGATGTCATTTTATTCGGGTAAATCAATTCAAACTTAAATTTTAACTATCAATGTTTCAAGTTTGACTAACTGAACTTTGATACATGATTATTGTTTTTATCTTTGATTTCATTTTAATTGTTTTAGTCTTTTAATACGTTTTAATTTAATTATGGGTAAATTCACCAATCATCACTTAACTTTTTTTTATCTCTCCTAATTCACTCATTGCACTTTAAATATGTTCAATTTCTTCATCGAATTTAACATAATTAGCATTTTTTTGTCACTTAGCCGTTTTCTCACTAAACAACGTTATAAATGAGCTATTATATAGATGCAAGACGGCGTCGTTTTAACGTCGTTAAATATTTAACGGTTGAGTGGCCGAAAATGCTAATTGCATTAAATTCAGTGAGAAAATTGAACGGAATTAAAGTACAGTGAGTGAAATAGAAGAGAGAGTAAAGTTCAGTGACGATTGGTGTAATTTACCCTTTGATTGTTTTAAACTTAGTATGATTGATTTAATTGTCGGATTAAATTAATCTAATTAGATCATTACATTAATTATATTTGATTGATGAAAATCTAATTAGATTAATTTTAATAGTCCCAATTGTTGTACATGTACAATAAATAACATAGGAGACACCATGGTGAGATCAATCAACCACTCTTCTTTTGCTGGATTTTTCCAATGACTTCCATCAGTTCATTAGACTTCAAAGGTTTAACCAGGTGAGCATCCATCCCAGCTTCCACTGCCTCCTCGCCGGACGTATGAGCGGTTAAAGCGATGATCGGGACACGAATGCCGTATTTTTCCTCCTCCGTTCTAATCCTCCGGGTCGCATCGTAGCCGTTCATCGGTAGCATCTATCGAAAACACACACCAAAAACAAGGCCAAAGCTCGTTAGTTTCACCAGGCAACAAAATGTAGTGCAGTTGTGGGACATCATGTACATTACCTGACAGTCCATTAATATATAGTCATAAGGAGGACCATTTCTCTGAGCTTTGAGACCATTGCAAACTAGTTCTACAGCCTCATTTCCATTTACACAGTTCTCGACATCAGCACCGAGCTGTCTAACAGCAGTTGTAGCAATTAAGCTTAGCATTTTGTTATCCTCGGCGATCAAAATTCGTTTTCCGGACAACGGCTTCCCGTCGTTCGACTCGGGCGTCGTTTTGAATAATCGAAGATATTTTCGACTTCACCCTGCCCTGAGTACGGACTAGTGTAGGTGAGGATGAACCTCTCTTACTGTACCGTTCATCACTTGAGCTAACATATTCTTGTATTTCTCCATTATGCTGAGAGTTTCTCATCAACCTTGCTTTGTTGTAAGCATGCTTTGAGCTTTCTTGATTACCCGAAACTCCCAGTGACGATGTAGCTCCGAATTCGGGAAGAAGTTTAATGACTCGATGCAAACGAGAACCATGGAAAGGCTGTAACAGAACTTCATCGCCGGGATCAAGCCTAATCGGATTGATCATACGTGCGGTCGGTTTGTCTAGCCAGACCACCTTACAACATGTACTCTGAAGGCCTCTTCGGAATTCAGCCACAATCCTCCAGAGCTCTGAAAATGGCCCTGCATTGACATCAACCACAAGTAGTATGAAGCTCGGTGTATCCTGTCGTCTGTTCAATGATAACTTATGGTCAGTTCCCTCCATGGCACTTAGAGGCACATCCTTCGAACTAAAACTAGAGTTTTCGCTTCTATGACTCATATCCAATCGCCTCGAAGAATGATTATTGGAATTTAGCCTCAGTTGTATCTGCTTCAGTGCAGAAGGAAGATAGTTGCACTGATCAACAACCGAAACACTTATTCCAAGACCCTGCATAAATTTTTGTGAAACTCTTCGTCTTTCGTCGTTTTGCATAAAGAGAACGACTTGAGACCCGTCCGACTTGGGGCTAGGACTGCGGATAGCGAGTTTTAGACTCGAAGTTCGGGTGGCAGAGCTCAGGATTGGAGGGCGGATGGCATCACCTTGAGTCTCCTTATTGCTGCTGGAGGAAATCTCACATGTGAGGAAAACATTGAATCTGAAGCAAGTCCCCTTTTCACCGATCTCTTTATCGACAATTCCGATCTCCCCGCCCATTAGACGTACCTAGCAAAGTAAGATTCAAATTAGTCATTCATGCATAGAATGAAATGTACCACGTACGTACGTACATACGTATGTATAGAAACCTGTTTAGTAGCAAGAAACTAAGGTTGTGTAAATATTTGTGACTTACCAAAGATTGAACAATTCCAAGGCCTAATCCAGTGCCTACTTGTCCAGCTGCTGTTTCTTTGACCTGAACATAGTTCTCGAAAACAGATTTTTGCTTCTCTTTGGGAATCCCTTTACCTGTATCATCGACCTTGAACACGATCTCAACGGAATCAGGATTCTGCATAACTGCACCAATCGCTTTGACATCACCATTGGTTTCGTTCCTGTCATTAAACAAGCGGGACAAGTACTTGTGAAAATTGTTCCGGCTAGAACAAAGCAATTCGGTTTCAAAATCAGGCTTTCTAACCCAAGCTCTAAGGCATACATGCCCTTCATCAGTAAACTTAACAGCATTGCTTAGCACATTACTTAGTATCTGCATGAGTTTCCCTCTGTCACCTTTCACTTGTGTGAGCTTGATGATGGATCCATCACATGGGTCCAAAACAACATCTACACCCTTGATCATACCCACAGGATGATAAAGATCAACTACATGTTCAACCAGTTCAGCCAAATTGAACTCTTGTTCTACCAAATTCATCATGCCGGCTTCGATTTTGCTAGTATCGAGTATAGAATTAAGCAGGCCTGCAAATTATATGCAGCTAATTAGACCCATGTACTAATAAGCATAGCTTTGCAAGCGAAAGGCCAGGGAAATACAAGTTACCTAATAGATCATGTGCACAATGACTCATTTGCTTTAAATACGAGTCGAAATCGGACCCGGGGGCGGCATTCACGAGGCATAAATCTATGAAACCATTGATTCCGGCCAACGAAGCTCGGATATCATGGCTGGCACCAACCAAGGCAAGGCTTTTGTTCATGCTCTTTCTCTCTGCTTGTTGAGTCGCTTCCATTTGTTTTATGAGCTTGTCATGCAGGCACACCTCCCTTTGAGCCGTGTTGCCCATTGAGGTTACAAAAAACACGAGTGCAATCACCAGCAACACAATCGTTGCAACAAGAGCAATGTGAGAATGATTGATTTTTCTGTGAACAAGGCTTGCTGATCCTTTTCGTGGAGATGCCAATGCATATACCTGAAACCGAACAGAAACTCGTAAAACACGAACCGAACATGATACTTTAGAGAATAACATAAAATAAAAACCGAATGTACCGATTTAAGTCCCGATATTTCTACTGTTGAACAACTAACAGTATACACTTTTTCACCAATGTACAGGATATAGGACTCTGGTGTAGAGCATGAAACATTTTGAGAACCATTTGGATTCATCAACTGTAGGAAAATGGAGCTATTAACAGAGATGAATTTTGTGTTTTGGATTCCATTAACCAGCAATTTTCCATCCATTGTAGTCAAGCTTAAGCTTCCTCCGTAAAGATCTAAACCCGAAAAGAGATCGGTTAATCTTTTTACTGAAACTCCCAAGGAAACAACACCTCTTCCAAGCATGCCTACACTGGTAAGAAACAATGTACCGACACCGTTGCTCCACCCGTTTTCGACAGAAGAATATCCCCATGAATTACGCAATGCTGCTTGAAACCAGCTTGTACTGGCAGCATTGAAGCGAGGGGATCCATCAGCTTCTCCATAGAGCTTCCCTGTGTGATTATCGACAGGTTGAATGTACCAAACATGCTGCTTCGGGTTCGAGGAAAACGAAGAGTTGGCATATGTCGATAGAGCTTGATTGCCATCAAAATAGTAGGAGAAAAACAGACCCTCTGATCCAACATATGAAATCTGAGACAGATAAGGTATGGTTGAAAAAGCTAGAAACAATGTAGGAGCCACCTGCAAACAACTAACATTCCTAATTATACTTACATGTATATATATATAGATTTCGAAATCGAGAAAGATCGAAGATGGAAGAATGATATGCATACCTTAGTCTCAATATCATTGAATGAGATTTCACTTGTTTGATTGAAGGAAGAACTCAAAAGCTTTGCTAAGCTTATAGCAGACGAATTCAATGGCGGTATTGATTTTGCAATGGTGTCAATTTGTGATAGAAATCCAGAATGCAAGTTCCGGGTGTTCAAATTCACGTTGTCTGAAATCTGTCTGGTTGTTTTGTTCCACCATGTGATCACTATGCATGGGGGAAGCAATACCAGCAATGCCTGCATTAGAAATCCAGAATCATGATTAATCATGTGTATACATATATACATACATACATACATTCTTCCTAGTCTTTACAGAACCCTAATTGCCTTTACAGAATTTACGACGCAGAAACTAAGCATGTAATAAAAAATAAAGATTAAAAAGAAAACCGAAAAAGAGAAGGATTCAGTTTCCTTTTCCAATCTTTTTCTTGGTAAAGAAAAGAGAAAATAAGAAAATAAGAGTAAAAACGTTAGGTTCCACATAGAATTACCAGAAGGATGAGGATGGTGACTGGCCGTGACGCTATCTGTTGGCTGAGCTTCATTAGATTTTCGAGATATAACTCATGAACAATCTCTGCATTATAAAGGAATCAGTAAGAAAACCTGGGTAAAAACCTGTGAGATTCAACAAACCATGGATATCTAGGAAAATCCACTATCACTCTTTAAATTATTTTTTCCTTTTCTTTGCATGCATATTAATTACGTATAATTTTATTCAAAGAAAGGCAATCTCATCTTAATTTTTTTCCTTAAATAAAAAGATTCACTTTTTTTTTACCTTTTAACTGTCATCAAATACGTATATTCTTTGAAGGAGAACGCAAGTAACACAAGAATGAACTCTTGGTGATGCGATTAAAGAACTCAGAAAGAAGACAAAGACGAACAAAGAACAAAACCTTTTAGTTTACGAGGAACAAATCGAAAAAATAAACTCCAATCCCCATCGATAAGGCCGTCTAAATGGGAAGACATTTCCGAGGCACTTTGAAGCTCTGGTACCCTACTAACGACCGTCAGGGCCTCCTAACGGCTTGTTTCGACTATAATATCTTTAATACCAAAATCCCATGCTATCTTCAAACCTTCATAAATGCCCCAAAGTTCGGTATCCAGCACCGAGCAACGGCCAATGGATTTTGAAAAGCCAAAAACCCATTCACCCAAATGATCTCGAAGAGCACCACCACATGCACGTTGTGAAATCGGACACCGTTTATCGAGCTTCCGTGAGCATTCGATTGCTAACCTGTTAAACTCCCTCAAACATGTATTCCATAAGCACGATGGACAGTCTGAGGAACCGGTTCAAACATCTATGGTTAGTATTATGTTTAATGAAATTATTTTCTATGATGTTAGGAAACTGGTTAAGCATGATATTCAAGAAACATTGAATACTTCTCATTCATTCCAGTAAACGGTCTGCATATGTGATCTTAGGATGTTTAGCCTTCACTCCCTCACAAAAATCAAGGGCAATTTTCAAGCTGTTATTGGCGCCATGAGTGTACTCTTCCTCATTCCTTATGGATCTATTCGGACCACCGGTCTTAGTGCTCACATCGTACGACCCAGCATCGTGCCATGCTAAGCTAAGTATGATAGGGGCGCAGTTCTTCAAGGCGATGAGAGCGCGGATGTCTCGACAAGCTTTGTCGATCTCCTTGAGGTACTCGGTGTCAACTACTGGAGACGCCATTGAAATGCTTTTTAGTTCGCTTCGATCAACGCTGAAGAGTCATTCTTGAGAGCATCACCGATCAGGTAATTCAACAAACAGGTTGTGCGTAGCAATGGAAGAAAACTCACAGACATAAAACAAAGCAATCTCAAAGATAATCCAACACAATTGGAATCAAAGAATGCACAAATCAATTAGAAAGATGTTATCGGGAGCCAAGAGCAAACAAAGAGCATTGCAAACACGCAGCGGAGCTAATGACGTCAGGATCTTTAGCTCTGATACCATGATGAAATATCACAAGAACGTTTCAAGAAGAAACAAGAGAACTCATTCTTTTCTTTACTATAATTCAACGAATATACAGTGTGCACCATAATAGCTTTATATACAGCACTACAACAACTTCCTAACTGACTAACAAACTTATAACAGTTTAGCTTCTAGACTAACTTCTAGAGTTTCTCCATACTCAGATATGCATAGGTTGCATGGGCTGCACGTGCTGCATCATTCTCTCAACATATGAAATTTAGAAATTATCAACAAAGCATCCCCTTGTTTCCAGATAGCCAATCGAGGACTTCATTCAAGTTTCTACAAAAAAAAGAGATACTAAAATGAGGTCAACTTTAATTATATTTTAGGATAGTTTGAAGAGTTTAACGTGAAGAATTTTGTTCAATTTCTTATAAGAAAAAACATTTAAATTAAATGAGGACAGTATTAACTATATTTTACAAGAATCTGAATTATTAATGTCAAAGAATTTGAAGAACTGAAATGAGAATTTAACAAAAGTAAATGCTTTTTAGGTTAATTGCACGGTTAGTACCTCGATTATCACTTTTGTTATGTTTTTTTGTCACTTAACTACTATTTTTTTTTTTCAAATCATCATTAATATTTTATTTTGATTACTCATTGTAAAAAATTAGCAAAACTACACACGTGACATTTTTATAAAAGTTTCAATGATTACATTACATTACATGATGACATATCAATATCACTATTAATATTTTTAATATTGAGTGACCATCATAAAATCAAAACATAATGCTAGATATGATTTTAAAACAAAATATAATTGGGTGACCAAACCAAAAGTAATAGTTTGGGTAGTAAACTATTAGCTCACCCTACTTTTTTTTGGTGTCGTCAGCACTTAGTTAGGCCATCCGTACAAGTTAAGAGGTGCATATGATTGTTTGTAATTTATAATAGGGTAAATTACACATTTATTACCTATACTATCAGATTTCTTCCATGTAAGTACCTAAATTTTCAGTTTTTAAAAAATGATATATAACGTTTAGTTTTTGTTTCATTTTAATATCCACCGTTAAAAACTTAACGCTTTTAGTACCTCAAATATCAATTTTGATCTATTTAAGTACCTAAACTTTCAAATTTTTCACAATTTAACGTTAAATTTTGAATAGTATTCTAAAATGAAACAAAAACTAAATTTTAGGTATGATTTTGAAAAAAATTGAAAGTTTAGTTATTAAAACGGGATCAAAACTGATAGTTTAGGTACTAAATGTGTAATTTAACCTTTATAATATATAGCAGAATAGGTAGGGGTTGCTGTGCAGATAAATTTGACTATTTCATCCTTCCCTTTCAATAAATTCCCATTAATCAGCGCTGAAAATCAATATTTTATGACGTTTTATCTATTGAAAAAAAACAATAAGTAATTTGGACAAGATGTGCATCAGTATCAAGCCTCAGATCACAAATGTTAAGCAACAATTATGAGCATACAATAAGTTTGTCTGTCGGGCACCGGGAAATTGCTGCTGTTGCTCAATCATCATCCCCGTCGTCATCGCCGGCAATGTCCACCGAATCCCGTCGTCGAATGTTGTTTCGAATGGCTGAAATCGATCGAATCACTATGTACATGGGGACTAAAATCCCAGTAGCTCTCATTAGCAGTATCTGCAAAATTTTATGGCAGAAAGGAAATCATCTCAGAGACAATGCTCTAACAACAGCAACAGAGACAAATGAAATCGATTACTTACCATAACAAGTGCAAATGGGTATTGATCTGTTTCGCCATTGATGACATCAATGATATGTTTTACGAGCAAAACCACGGCGAACTGGCAAAATTTCATGTGCAAACTTCATTTAAAACCTTCCAAAAACCAATCATTTATCAGCAATGGGGTAAAGGGTTAAACTTGAACGTACGATGAGAGCCATTGATCGGCAGCAAGAGGCGCCTCTTTCGACGGCGGAAGTACATTGAGTGAACTCGTTTTCATCGTTCATTGCTCGGTGTTGCGGTTCAACCTCTCTTCTGGGAATTTGCAGGCCATCTCTGAGAACAAAATAAAAAAAAAATCTTTTTTATTAAATAAAATAATACAAAAAGGCTGCTTGATTAATTAAAATCAGTGATTATCGGAAAAATCAAGTCTGGGTCTGGCTTTTTTGAATTAAAATTAACAGAACTTTTTTCAAAATAAAGATGAACACATGTGTATCCTGGTTCAAATTACCTAATGGTTACTGCAGCTTCAATCAGCTGAGACTTCTTTGAAGGCGCCATGACTGTGTATCCTGGTTCATACTTCTGCATGATTTTACACAGTGATATTCACATTAATAACATGATTAAATAAACTTCTGGGTAACTTTTTTTAATGAAAAATAAACGATCATAGCAATAGTTCTTTAAGAACAAAGAACCAAGAAAAGCGATGAAAGAAATCAAAGAAACCTGTAGACAAATTTCACAAGCCGTATTGCCCTTCTCGTTACACCATCTCTGTATACAATCCCTATGTGCAAACTGGAAACAGAAAAAAAAAAGAATCGAATCATCAAAACAGAAGAAACCCAGTAATTAAAACATGAAAAAAAACAAGCATTGAATCAAAAGAAAAGAAAATAAGCGGATTTAGTTTACCTTAACAGAGCCAGAACAAGCACATGGAGCTTCGAAGCTCTTCATGCTATCGAACTCTTCTTCATGGCAAATTCTACAGTGTGAAATCGAATTATTCGATGATAAATCATCAATAAACAAAGCAACGTCTCCCATTCTCTGCTCAACCTTTTTCTTTTTCTTTGTTTCCCCCTCTGTGTGATTTGAAAATTTGCTTTCTTTATTGATCATCAAATTCTCTATAAAAACTGGAGCTTTACTTTAAATATTAAACATTTAAAGTATATTAAATACTTCATTATCAGTATATTAAATATTTAAAAAAAATCATAATTGGTAAGGCTTCCAACATTTGTTTGTGTAAATTACAAATTTGGTAACTGAACTTTACTCTTTTTTTATTTCACTCACTATACTTTTAATTTTTTTCAATTTCCTCATTGAACTTAATACATTAGTTTTTTTTCACTCGTCAATCAAAAAGTTAATGGCGTTAAAATGGGTTGTTACAATGCAAAACGATGTCGTTTTGGTAAAAAAAATTATTATTTTTAAAATGTCATTATTTTTAACGGCGTTAACTATTTAACGGCGGATTGACCAAAATAGAAGAGAGAATAAAGTTTAGTGACAAAAAAGTCAAATGTATTAAGTTCAATGAGAAAATTTAAAATTTTAAAGTTTAACGAGTAAAATATGAGAGAGTAAAGTTCACTGATGAAATTTCTAATTTACCCTTCTTTTTTTTCTTTTACAATGATAAGCCTTCCAACTTTAAATCTTGAAAAATCCACTATCATAAATGAGAAAAATAATTTCCTTAGCATAAAAGTTTGTTGCAAAATAATATAACATTGATTAAAAGTTTATTGCAAGTTCCTATATTATATAAAAGGTTTATTTATTTTTTACCATAAAAAATATTTAGGTCTTATATACGTGAACAAATAAATATTTTTAATTTAAAATATTAAATATAGTTAATTGGTATAAATATTTTGATTTAAATATTCGTAATGTCTCGGTTAATTTTAAAATTGAACAAATTTTTTTTAAAAAATCATTTAATTTTATGTAGTTTGAATATAAGTAAATAAGAACAAACATTATAATAGTAAATAATTTTCTTAGTAAATAAGAACAAACATTTATTTATTTTTATAAATTCACATTTTTTAATATTTTAATTCATTATTATTTTTTCATTTTAATTATGAATTAACAAACAATAAAAACTCTACCTAAAATCCATGCCACATCAGTAAAAATATACCTATAAACGACCTTTTCTAAAAAAACGACCCCTCGATGTTCTTTTATCAAAATAATTATCAAATGAATATTATTTTATTAATATAACCCTTGAGTGTAGTGTGTAAGCAACTCACTATTTCTATTCAAAATAATTAGAAGGAGAAATTACACATTGCCACCTAAACTCTCAGTTTTAGTGTTTAAATTTTTAATTTTTTCAAAATCATACTTAATGTTTTGTTTTTGTTTTAATTTTTTCAAAACCATACCTCAGTGTTAAAGGAATATTTGTTGTTCCTAAAAGTCACGGGTAGACATGCACAAAGTCGGATAAAAAATCGATCTGATTTTTTCACTTAGCTAAAAAATCGATTCGGATCCTAATCGGTTTGGAGGGCCGGATGGTGTAACCGGTTTCGATTTGAAAAAAACTGTTTTTTAAAAAAAACCGGATATAAAAAAATCGGTGGTGGTGAGCAACACTACTCTTGTGCAATCTGTCTCTACTCCTCCTGAAGGCTTTGAGAGTAATGCTGAGCAGCATTACTCTTGTCCTGTTTTCTTTGTTCTTCCTTCTTAAACACTCTCATCAAAGCACGTCCATCATCATTTCTTGCAAGCTTTCATTATCTTCCACTTAATCACATTAGATCCTCATTTAGGCTCAATTTCACGCATACCTATCACAAACCAAAAGTTAATTAAAGCACAATTATTCTAGATAAATTAGGAGTATTTATAAACATTTTACGCATATAAAAAGCATATACACAAGACACTCATCAACGATAAATTAAAATACTTAAATATTACAATGTTAAAATTATATTGTCATCAATTGTAACAAAGTTTACGATAATTGAAATACTTAAATACTTCCAAGTTTGATAAATTTAAATACTTAAAAACTTCCAAGTTCGATAATTGAAACAAAGTTTACGATAATTGAAAGTAATATTTTCAATCTTGGAACCGCGTTTGTATTATCCGATGCATTATCAAAGGATATAGAAAAAACTTTATTTTCTAATTTATAAAGACAAATTACCCTTTTTAAAAATGTAAATAAATTAGCATCGGTATGCGGCTCACCGAATAATTCAAACGCGATTGTTATTTTCATCATTTACCCATTATCTTGATCTAACCAATGTGTCGTAACGGCTAAAAAAGAATTTTCGGTATTATGAAGGGAACTCCAAACATCACATGTAAGCGACACATCATAACAGTGTTCTTGGAATCCTAAAATCATTTTCCCTCGCCGTATGTCACATTTTTATAGCATCTCTTCTAAGGGTAGTACGACTTACTTGAGTATAATGTGGTTGCATTAGTTGTTGAATTGTTGCCGTGAAATCTTCATCATCAAAGTGGTCGAATGACAATGTTTTTGTAATCACGAATTTTGTAAACGCTTCTTGTAATTTTTCGTTGTCGTAAACAAAACACCACCTTGCGGTGTAAGATTCGATTGACTTGGATTCGATCTTGAGCGAAGTGCCTTGCATGATTTTGTAAAATGGTTATTCAACGTTGTGTTTCCTTCCGGTACAAAAAACTTTAGACAAAGTTTACAACGCGCCCTCTTCGAGCTATTTGGGATCACATCTTATATAAATCGTAGTGATCCCAAATATCTTTGTTTCAAGTGTGTTCGATTACTCTCACGACTTCAAGGTTTCCCCCGACGGAAGATTCAACCGTGTTAGGGTCGGTATTTGTAGTTATGATGAACAAAAAAATACAAAAATAAGATTTGAGAGATGTTTAGGTGTTGTGTCATAAGATTTGAGAAAGTTGTAATCAACCAAACACACCCTCAACCTATTTATACATGTTTAGGGTGGTAAAATGATGATTTTTTTTAGGAAAAAAATGGTCAAAAAAAGGGTCACAAAACCCCCCGACGGCTATATTAACGGCTAGTTTTTAAAACCCTAGACCGAATTTTTTCCGAATAAAAACCGGTTTTTTATCCGTTTTTTTTCAAACCGGTTTTTAATCCGGTAAAAAAATCGATCGTCCAGTTTTCCCCAAACCAGTTATACTATCCAATTTTTAAATATCCAATCCGGTTTAAAAAAACCGATTTTTCCCAAATCCAGTTTAGGATATTTTTTGTGCAAAATCGGATATTCGGATTTTTTGTGCACCTCTAGTCACGGGTTCGAGCACCCGTTATTGCAACAGGGTGATTGAGCGTTCATTATCAAATGATTGAAATTATTTAGAACAGTTACTACTTTCTAATCACCTTAGCTTAATAAGAATAATAATGTGCTTAGTACCTAAATTATCAGTTTTGGTCCGTTTTAGTAGCTAGACTTTCATTTTTTTCAAAAACTTAACGTTAAATTTTGAATGGTGTGCTAAAATGAAACAAAAACTAAACATTAAGTGTGATTTTAAAAAATTAAAATATTAATACATACCAAAACTGATAGTTTAAATACTAAATATGGAATATACCCTAAATAAAACCAGGGAAATGAATGATTTCATGTCCATTTTAAAAATTTTGCTTTTAGGTTTGAATTTGAGACGTCTGATCTAAAACCAACAATTACAACGTACCTGAATTTTTTTTTAAATCCAATTATTAGTTTTCGATGGGGCTAGACTATCAATTTCTCTATTAGAGTAGAAAACATCCCAACACTCATAAATTTTATTTTTGCTTGATTTTATTACAATATCGTTAAAAACTTAAAGGACGAACTCATCAATTGTCGCGTCTGCAGTCGTCGACTGTCGTATTCGTCGGTTGGTGAAACTCAAATTTTTCAGTTCGCATCTTTTCGACCCCCGAAACGCGATTTTGTCATCCGTTTCATAGAAAACGCTTCAATCTCCCTAAATCGATGATGGACTCTTTGATTTATTCGTCCTCCGATCTCGGTCGTCAACCATCCTCCCTAAATCGATGATGGACTCTTTGATTTCTTCGTCCTCTCGTGGTCTACCGTTCGGATTGGTCGTTCGTCTATCGGAGTTATGCGCCGCCAACCCGTCCGTTAAATTTTTAACAGGGTGTACTAAAATGAAACAAAAACTAAATACTAAGTATGATTTTAAAAAAATTAAAAAATTAAGTATTAAAATAGATAAAAACTAATAATTTAGATATTAAATATATGATTTATTATATTTTTTATTATTATATTAATTTGTAACTATTATCCAATAAGATAGTTGCACAAGACAAATCACATCAATCAATAAATAAAAATCAGTAATCCAATGTTGACACATTCCATCGGCTATCCCTTCATGCCAATTTCAACGTTGATGAGGGATGGATTTAGGTAGGACGGGTGATATAGTCATTTTCTAAATTTAAAATTATTATATATTTTAATTTTTTTATATATTTTTTATTAAAATTTTATTTTTGTTTTCTTAAA